CATTAAAGATATCATCTGCCTAGTAAATTGAATATGATTAAGAGAATTATCCATTCACTATTATATGCAAAAGGATTAGTGGGAAGTCTGTTAATTGGTATGGATTTATGGATTTATAGACTCTAAAAATGTATTTTTTACAAATTCACTAAAAAATGGCAAAATATTTGTATAAACTAATTGCATAATTACATGTAAAAGTAAAATTTGTAAGCAATATGAAAGTCCAATAGTATATGATAGATTAAAGCAATTATAGACTACCACTATGTATTTATTAAAAATCACGCGTGTATATACATAGAAAGACAGGGGCAGAGAAATGAAAGATGTCCACACTATATTGCTAAGTAACAAAAAGTGTATCACAAAATAATAAAGATAATGTGATCACATACATGTTATACATAGATTACAGAATTCCCATAAATGTGGGTGCATTTATATCATCAATAGCATCAGTAGCTTTTATTTTCTTTATTTTCTAAATTTTTCTATGTGTGTAAATTTTGTTGATAGAAAAAATAGCAATAAAAGTCATACAGATGTTTTCAGAAGATTTATGTTGACTTAAGAAAATGTTTATGGCATAATGCTGAAAAAGGAGAATACAAAATTACACAGAAAAAAATGATTACAGATGAGTAGAAAAGAAAATTTAGAGAAGAATAAAGGCTATAAGAAAATGCATAGAAATATTCACAATGGTGATCTCCAGGTAATTTTTTTCTTTATATTTTATGAATGCCTGATATCAAGCATATATTATCTTTCTCATCAAAAATGTTATTCTAAGACTTTTTTTGTTTGTATTGTTTTATTTGTCTCCCTAGCTGGATTGCTTTGTAAGCTTAAGGCTTGGAAGAGAACTGATTTTTATTGCTCATTCCCCTTCTTCACATCCCACATTGCTTTATTTTGAAGAAGCTTGCAGCTAATTGATTTCCCACTTCATCTTTGTCTTTGCACCAAGCCCACATTCTTATCTTCAATCTACCCCCTTGTTGCTACTTTATTTCTGTCTCCTCTATTTCACTCTGGGAAGATTGTTCTGAAATATGATTCATTGTTCTGAAATATCACCATTAATCACCACAGAGAAAAAAACTGTGCAGATAGACATAGGAAAATCTGGACTTTTATAATGCAATGTCTAATATCAATGTCCCCAATGCGATTTTGATGTGAAAAGGATATCATCTAACAAAAGAAACAAAGATGAAGTCTCTGACATCCTGAGGGGGAAAAAAAAAAAAAAAGGCAGGAGTCATTACTATTAAGTCCTAGCAGGAGGGAGATACAGTTCTGAGTCACCAAACTAGATTATGTCCTCGAGGAAATCAGTAAAATTAAGACTATAAAAGCTGGCCCAGCTGGTTAATTAGCACACTTTACAGCAGATTATATTTTATAGTTTGCTTTTTATATTCTAAGCTACAGTCTAATAAGTTAAAACAATTATATTACCAAGGACTTGATAAGTTCTCTTTCTCATATGAGCTCACCACCAGTCACTAAACTTGCATATACTTTATATACAATCAGGGTGATTTTTGTTAGATACCTGATTCACAGACCTCTGTGCTAAAGTATCAGCAAGCAGTGAAATGCTTCCAGAACAGCTAACACACAAAATGCTATGCTTAGATCCCAACTAGCGCCAGCTGAAGGAAATGATTCATTTATTAAGGCTGTAGTTACAGGCTATGAAACAGCTGGTTATGGGCTCTTTCTCCCAGCCTGAGCTATTTTCTAACATCTGTTAGTATGAGCACAGTAAGTCACTGACTTATTCTTTTAAGTGTCCTCTTCCAGACAGAAAAAAAATTATGTTTCAGAGGGAGAGCTTAGGGTGTTCAGTCAGAACAATAAACAAGAGATCAAATGTTGGGGAGCCAGGATGACCAATACAGGGAACTTGAAAAGGGATATATACTGACGATTGTGTGACATCTTTTTTTAACTAAACAAAAGCCCATGTCATGTATGTCACCCTAGAATAGGCTTTATCGTCTAACAGTTCCAAGATGATGATGCTGATGTTAATGATAATGATGATGATGATGGTGCCCTTTCATTGCTTTGGTTTTCCATGCCCATTTCATTATAGAACCAGTATTAGTGTTTTGCTTTCTGTAATTCATATTCTCTCTCTCTCTTTTCTTTTTTACCAGAAGAGAGTGGTTTAATCTCATTGGTGAATTCAGGAAGAACAAACAGGACAACTCACCTCCTCTGCTTTTCTTCTTGAGAGTTGGGTTTTAGCTGGAGGAGAGGACGAGAAGACCCATCTCATGTTATAACTTCCACAATTTAGTCTTTGTCACTTAAAGCAATGATTTTTGGCAGGAATCTGCTACTCTTTTCTATTTCTGAATCTAGTTTGAGCTCAGGGCAGGATCAGGGCAGGATTCAGTGGACCCTCTTGAAGACCCAAACACACTGTCAGCACTTACTATGTTTTAGCAAATGCCATTCCTTCCTGTCAACTGCTAGAGGAATTTGTTATTGCATTCTTTTTCCCTTAAAGCATTGAACCATTCCCTAGTTCCACTAGTTTTGTCTTGTCTAGCTCTCTAGCAGATTATAACCCATAGGAAAAAGGCTGAATCTTACTTCTATTTTCTCTCTTGTTTTAAATAACTCCCTGAACATAATTGTTAGTACTGCATGAATAAAAGATGGCACATAAGTATTATATATGCACCATAAAGTACCATCATTGTGAATTCAACTGGATTAAAAATTAAAACAATTTAATGAAAATTCACCTCATATCAGGATTTTATGCATTAACATTTTCTTTGAAGAATGCTTTGTGATGTATGTGGCCCTTTCTTACCTAGGTAGTTTTAACCTGAAGGTTGATATAGGAGATCTCCAAGCCAGTTATTGCTGTGGTTATATTTTTCATTGTACCATGTGCCCCAATCCCCAATAATGTAACATACGCACACACACATACACGCACACACACACACACACACTGGTTTGAAGGCTTCAAAAACTGAAACATGTTAACATTATAAAAAAGATGCAATAATATCCAAAATAATATAAATATGACCTTCTGAACAAGAGTGATCATTGCCTTTACTCCTGAAGGCCATAAGAAGGACTTTTCTTATGTTCTACTCAGAAAAATTAAAAATCAGGAAAAAAAAAACCGTGTGTGTGTGTGTGTGTGTGTGTTGCATTATAAAATATGCTATAAGACATGAAGTGACATTATGCTTGGAGACAATTTTTTTTTTTTTTTTTTTTTTGAGATGGAGTTATGCTCTTTTTGCCCAGGCTGGAGTGCAATGGTACGATCTTGGCTCACCGCAACCTCCGCCTCCTGGGTTCAAGCGATTTTCCTGCCTCAGCCTCGCGAGTAGCTGGGATTACAGGCATGCGCCATCATGCCTGGCTAATTTTGTATTTTTAGTAGAGATGGGGTTTCTCCATGTTGGTCAGACTGGTCTTGAACTCCCAACCTCAGGTGATCCACCTGCCTCGGCCTCCCAAAGTGCTGCGATTACAGGCGTGAGCCACCGCGCCCGGCCTGGAGACAATTTTTATACAAAAGATATATATTATCAATAAGTACTACAAACTTGCAATCTTTATCTTAATAAAGATTTACTTGATAAGGGTATATTGGTGACAGTGTGGTTAGTGGGAAGAGGACCGAGTTAGGAGTGAAAATACTAGATTTTAAGCTACCTCTCACACCAGTGGGTGGCCCGATGTTGAACATTTGGATATGTACCTTACCCTTATGAGTATCAACTTTCTCATCTGTAAAATTAATGAATTAGAATTGTCCAGCTCTAATGGTGTACAGCTATTGTTTTAAAAATGTACAGTGAATGGGCTGTTCAAGCTAACAGTAACCTTTTTAAAAATATAGATTTACAAATAATGATCTGTATTAAATGGCATGGTTTAGAATAGAGTAAGACACTGAAACCAAATCTCAGCTCTATCATTTCTTACCTGCATGATGTTGAGTAACTTATTTAAGCTCTTTGTCAGTTTCCTTATCAAAAAATGTGGATAGTAAATAGTATCTGCTATAAGAACAAAATGAGATAATACTAGTAATTCCTAAAATGGTGACTCTCAGGTAGTAAAAAAAAATTTAAAAAGCTATTTTTATTAGCTTCTGAAGCACAAAACTATCTCTAAAAAATATTTGTGGAAATATTTGTGGAAATAATATTTGGGGCTGAGATCACATAAAGAAAAAGTAATCACACCTTTTCTGATGATCTCCTCCAAATAGCTTTAAGAAGAAGATTCAATATTCCATCTAAGAGCTGACTATCTGTACCATAAATATTCACTCTCATGTTTCTAAAACAAAATTATAATTTGGTTTACTCTTGGTGATTTAGAAAATGTATGATTCCTTTTATTATTTGGTTATTCTTTGTTAATCTTATAGTTGGGTGACATCCCATCACCACAAATACTTTCCCTCACATTTCCAGGATGTAACCTATAAGAAGAAATTTAATACATAAAATTCCCCACTCCTGACATTAATCACATGGTAGGAGGTACAATGATAGGAATTAACCAGATGTAGATAGCATTATTAGGACAATTAGCAATAAGTACTAATGTTATACAAATGGAGGAATCTTACTGTTACTTAAGGAGATCATGAGAGTGATTCAGAGTAAATTTTAATGTTTGGATTTTGATCTGAATAAATTATTGTGACGATGCTTAAGCAATGCTATTTCGAATTTTGAGACTTCTCTTCCTGATTATTGTGTGAGAAATGCGTAGTTGGTCTTTTTGTTCTTTGAAGGCTTGAATTATGTTGGACAGTGAATTACCTCATTTTAGGATCAATAAACCACTTCAAGCTTTAGAACTAGATTCCTCTTTCAAGCCATGAATATAACGAGATGACACAGCAAATTGCCTAAAGAAGAAGATAACACTAAGAAAAATAAAACTGAATGTCAATACCATTAGCATGTGTTGGGGACAAAAGGAAATACCTTAGTGACTTTGAAGGTATCCAATAAACAGATTCTTATACATTCTGATCTTCCATGAGCTGTATTCTGGAGGATAAAAGAATTAAAGGAAAAGTATAAAGATCAGAGATTTGGGAGAGTATGTTATTATTTAAACACACTTTACAAAATATATTTTCTACCAAGGTATGATAAAGGTATGCTATATTTCTATATTTCATGCTTGTGCAGTTTTCTAAAAAATTCATACTTTGTTTTGCCACTGTAGAGAGTGGGAATAAAAACTCAAATGCTATTTTGTTGTTTAGTTGAAGTTAGGTCAGTACAGAGGTGCAGAATTCATAAACCAGCTTTTCTTAATAGACAACTGTCTTTTTGAGAATATACACTTACAGTAATACAGTGAGGTTTTCTAATACCTTGTAATTATCTTTTTTTTTTTTTTTTTTTTTTTTTTTGAGCTACCGGCTCAGGCACAGTAACATAAACCATCAAGCAGCATCCTAAAGCCCCCATCCAGTCCCTAGCTCCCAGATATTTCTAGACAAATGTTGGACCAGAAGGGAACCTGCTGCCTTGAACGAAGAACTCAGTCCTGACAGAATTCATCACCTGCTAACGAAAGAGCCCTTGGGCCTTGAATAAACATCATTGTAGGGAGGCACTCACCATGGGCTTTGAGTGACACCTCAGGGTCATTCTGGTCTCATGTGTGACCCAGCACATTACCAGATTTGGTGGCCATGGGGAGAGACCCCTTCTGCTTGAGAAAAGGAGAGGAAAGAGTAAAAAGGACTTTGTCTTGCAACTTCGGTATGGGTACCAGCTCAAGAATGGTAAAATAAAGTACCAAGTAGATTTCTAAAGCTACCAATTATAGGCCCTGGCTCCTAGATAAGATTTCTAGACCCACACTGGGCTAGAAGGAAACTTGCTGCCCTGAAAGGAAAGATACAAGCTTGATTGGATTCACCACCTGCTTATTAAAGAGCTCTTGGGCCTTAAAAAGACAAGAGTGGTAGCCAGGAAACAGACATCACAGGATCTGGATGAGACCCAGTACTGTCCAGTACTGTCCTGGCTACAAGTCCGACCCAGCACAGTCTCAGTGGTGGAGGCCACAGGGGTTCTTGCATCACTCCATCCCCAGTTCTGAGCAGCTTAGCACAGAGAGAGAGACTTTGCTTATTTGGGGAAGAGTAAGGGAAGAAAACAAGAGTCTCTGCCTGGTAATCCAGCGAATTTGCCCAGATCTCATCTAAGACCACCAAAGTAGTACCTCTATGAATCTGCAAGAGTCACAATGTTACTGGGTTTTTAGGATGCTCCCTAATGTAGATACAGGTGCAAAGACAAAAGACTTACATCACAACATTCAATTCCCATTGAATACTTGTAAAGCCTTCCCAAGTAGTATGGGTATGAATAAGCCCAAACTGTGAAGATGACAATAAATACCTAACTTTTCATTGATCAGACATTGACAAACATCCACAAGCATCAAGATCATTTAGGAAAACATTACCTCACTAAAGAAACTAAATAAGGTATGAGAGACCAATCTCAGAGTGACAAAGATATGTGACCTTTCAGTCAGAGAAGTAAAAATAGCTATTTTGAGAAAGCTCAACAAAATTCAAGACAGGGAATTTAGAATCCTATCAGATAAATTTAACAAAGAGATTGAAATAATTTTTAAAAATCAAGCAGAAATTATGGAGCTGAAAAATTCAATTAACCCTGATGAATGCACCAGTCTTTCAACAGCAGAATTGATCAAGCAGAAGAAATAGTCAATGAGCTTGAAGACAAGCTATTTAAAAATAGATAGTCAGAGGAGGCAAAAGAGAATAAAAAAGAATGAAGCACACCTACAAGATCTAGAAAATAACCTCAAAAGTACAAATCTAAGAGTTTTCACCCTTAAAGAGGAGTTAGAGAGAGAGACATCAGGGTATAAAGTTTATTAAAAGGGGAAATAACAGAGAACTTTTCAAATATAGAGGAAGATATCAAAATGTAAGTAAAGAAAGGTTACAGAACACAAGCAGATTTAACCCGAAGAAGACTACCTCAAGATATTTAATATTCAAACTCCCAAAGGTCAATGCTAAACAAAACAGCAAGAGAAAGGAAACAATTACATAAAAAGGAGCTCTAACACTTCTGGCAGCAGACAACTCAGTGGACATCTCTCAAGCCAGGAAAGAGTGGCAGGATATATTTAAAGTGCTGAAGGAAAGAAACTTTTATCCTAGAATAGGATGGAGAAATGAAGGAGAAATAAAGAGTTTCACAAACAAATGCTGATAGATTTTGCCAACACCAGACCTGTCCTACAAGAAATGCTAAAGACAGTTCTTCAGTCTGAAATAAAAGGGTGATAATGAGCAAAATGATATCATCTGAGGGTACAAAATTCACTGGTAATAGTAAGTACACAGCTGGGCACGGTGGCTGACGTAATCCCAAGACTTTGGGAGCCAAGGCAGGTGATCACCTGAAGTCAGTTCAAGACCAGCCTGGCCAATGTGGTGAAACCCCATCTCTACTAAAATTACAAAAATTATCTGGGCGTCATGGCACACATCTATAATCCCAGCCACTTGGAAGGTTGAAACGGGAGAATCGCTTGAACCTTGGAGGTGGAGGTTACAGTGAGCTGAGATTGTACAACAGGACTCTAGCCTGAGCAACAAGAGTGAAATTCTGTCTCAAAAAAAAAAAAGTAAGTACACAGACAAACACAGAATATTATAACATTTTAATTGTCATGTATAAACTACTCATATCTTGAGTACAAAGACTAAAAGATTAACCAATAAAAAATAATAATCACAACAACTTGACAAGATATAGATGGTTTAATAAGATATAAATAGAAACAATAAAAAGTTAAATGGGTGGGGGGGAATGAAGTTAAAGTATAGAGTTTGTATTAGTTTTGTCTTTACCCATTTGTTTGTTTGTCTGTTTGCTTTTGCAACCAGTGATAAGTTGCCATCACTTTAAAATATTGGGTTATAAGATGTTATTTGCAAGCCTCATGATAATCTCAAATCAAAAAATTCTACAACAAATACAAAATAACAAGATATTAAAACTTACCACCAGAGAAAACCACCTTCACAAAAAAGAAGACAGAAAGGAAGGAAGAGAAGACTGCAAAACAACCAGAAAACAAACAACAACATGGCAGAAGTAAGTCCTTACTTGACAATAATAATATTAAGTGTAAATAGACTAAACTCTCCAATCAAAAGTCATAGAGTGGCTGAATGGATGAAAAAAAATCAAGACCCAATGATCTGTTGCCTACAAGAAACACACTTCACCTATAAAGACACACATAGATTACAAATAAAGGGATGGAAAAAGATATTCCATACCCATGGAAACCAAAAAAAAAAAAAAAAAGCAGGAGTAACTATACTTACATAAGGTGAAATAGATTTCAAGACAGAAATCTTAAAAAGAGACAAGGAACAACATTATACAATAACAAAGGGATCAATTCAGAAAGAGGATATAACAATTATAAATATATGTGCACCCAACACTGCAGGACTCAGATATATAGAGCAAATTAAATCTAAAGAAAGAGATAGGCCCCCATACATTAATAGCTGGAGACTTCAACACCTCACTTTCAGCATTAGACAGAGCTTCCAGAAAGAAAGTTAACAAGAAACATTGGACTTAATCTGTACTATAGACCAAATGGACCTAACAGATATTTACAGAACATTTTATCTAATGGCTACAGAATACACATTTTTCTCAGCACATGGATCGTACTGAAGGATAGACCATATGTTAGGTCACAAAACAAGTCTTAAAACATTCGCAAAAACTTGAAATTATATCAAGCGTCTTCTCTGACTACAGTGGAATAAAACTAGATATCGATAACAAAAGAAATTTTGGAAACTATGTAAACATATTGAAATTAAACAGTATGCTCCTGAATGACCAATGGGTCAATGAAATAATTAAGAAGGAAATTTTAAAATTTCTTGAAATGAATAAAAATGAAAATACAACATGACAAAATCTATGAGATACAGAGAAAGCAGTACTAAGAGCACAGTTTATAGCAATAAGCACCTATATCAAAAAAGTAGAAAAATTCAAGTAACCTATGATACATCTTAAGGAATTAAAACAAGAGGAAAACCAAACCTAAAGCTAGTAGAATAAAGAAAATAACAGATTAGAGGAGAAATAAATGAAATGAAATCAAATAAAATACAAAAGATCAATGAAATGAAAGTTGGTCTTATGAAAAGATAAAAAGAATTGACAAAATTTTAGCCAGACTAAGAAAAAAAAGAGAGGACTCAAATAAATCAAATCAGAGATTAAAAACAAGACATTAAAAATGATACTGCATAAAGTCAAAGGATCAGTAGAGACTACTATAATAACTATATGCTAATACATTGAAAAATCTGGAAAAAAATTTTGTAAATTCCTAAACACATACAGCCTACCAAGATTGAACCATGAAGAAATTCAAAACCTGAATAGATACATTGTAAATAATAAAATCAAAGCCATAATAAAAAGTCTCCCAGAAAAGAAAATCCCAGGACTCCATGGCTTCACTGATGAATTTTACCAAACATTTAAAAAAGAACTAATATCTATTCTACTCAAGCTATTGTTAAAAATAGAAGAGGAGAGAATACTTCCAAACTCATTCTACGAGGCCTGCATTACCCATATACCAACACCAGACACAAATGCATCAAAAAACAAAACTACAGGCCAATATCTCTGATGAACATTGATGCAAAAATCCTCAACACAATAATAGCAAACCAAATTCAACAAGACATTAAAAATATCATTCATCATGATCAAGTGGGATTTATCCAAAGGATGCAAGAATGTTTCAACATATGCAAGTCAATCAATGTGATACATCATATCAACAGAATAAAGAACAACAATCATATGATTATTTTAATTGATGTTGAAAAAGCATTTGATAAAATTCAACATCCCTTCATGATAAAAATTCTCAAAAAACTGTATAGAAGGAACATACCTCAGCACAATAAAAGCCATATACAACAAACCCAGTTAGAACACAACTCAGTGCAATAAAAACCATATTCAACAGACCCATATTGAACAGGGTAAAACTAAATGCCTTCCCTCTAAGACCTGGAACAAGACAAGGATGCTCATTTTCACCACCACTGTTATTCAGCATAGTATTGAAGGTCCTAGTTAGTGCAACAGACAAGAGAAAGATATAACAGGCATCCAAATTGGAAAGGAAGAAATCGAATTATCCTTCTTTGCAGATGATATGATCTTATACTTGGGAAATTCTAAAGACTCCACCAAAAAATTATTAAATGATAAACTCAGTAAATTTCCAAGATACAAAATAAAAATACAAAAATCAGTAGGATTACTATATGTCAACGTATTGTTTCTTTTTTCAGCAATCTGAAAAAGAAATCAAGAAAGTAATTCCATTTACAAAAGCTACAAATAAAATTGAGTATCTGTGAATTAACTTAACCAAAGAAGTGAAAGATCTCTACAATGAAAAGTATAAAACACTGATGCAAGAAATTGAAGAGGACACAAAAAAATGGAAAGATATTCCACGTTCATGGATTGGAAAAAATCGATATTATTAAAATGTCCATACTACCCAAAGCAATCTACAGATTCAATGGAAAGTCTATTAAAATGCCAAAGACATTTTTCACCGAAGTAGAAAAAATAATCATTAAATTTATATGGACATACAAAAGACCCAGAAGGCCAAAGCCATCCTGAACAAAAATAATAAAACTGGTGAAATCTCATTATCTGACTTCAAATTAGACTACAGAACTATAGGAACCAAAACAACATGATACTGGCATAAAAATAGACACATAGACCAATGAAACACAATAGAGAACCCAGAAATAAATCTGTACATCTGTGGTGAACTCATTTTGAACAATGGTGCAAAGAACATACAGTGGAGAAAGGGCAGTCTCTTCAATAAATAGTCCTGGGAAAATTGAGTATCCATGTATAGAAGAATGAAACTAGACTCCTATCTCTCATCATATACAAAAATCAAATCAAAACTAATTACTTATATCTAATATGTCAAACCTGAAACTACTAAAAGAAAACATTGGAGAAATTCTCCAGGACATTGGTCTGGGCAAATATGGCAACCGAAGCTAAAAATGGATATATGGAATCATACCAAGTTAAAAAGTTTCTGCACAGCAAAGGAAACAATTAACAAAATGAAGAGATAACCCACAGAATGAGAGAAAATATTTGCAAACTATCCATCTGACAATGGATTAATAATTATAATATATAAGGAGCTCAAATAATTTTATAGGAAAAAAAATCAAGTATTTCAACTTAAAGATAAGCAAAAGAACTGAATAGACCTTTTCATATACCTGTTTGCCATTTGTACATCTTCTTTTGAGAAAAGAAGGCAAACAGGTATATGAAAAGGTGCTCAACATTATTGATTATCAGAGAAATGCACATCAAAACTTCAATGAGATATCATCTCACTTCAGTTAAAAATGACTTTTATCCAAAAGACAGGCAATAACAAATGCTGATGAGAATGTGGAAAAAAGGGAATCCTTGTACACTGTTGGTGAGAATGTAAATTAGTACGGCCACTATGGAAAACAGCACAGAGGTTCCTCCAAAAACTAAAGATAAAACTACCATGTGATCCAGCAATCCCATTACTGGCTGTTTGTCCAAATGAAATAAAACCTGTAAGTCAGAGTTACCATGTTCATTGCAGCACTATTCACAGTTGCCAAGGTTTGCAAGCAATCTAAGTGCCTGTCAACAGATGAATGGATAAAGAAAATATGGTACATATACACAATGGAAGACTATTCATCCATAGAAAAGAATAAGATATTGTCATTTGCAACAACATGGAAGGACTGGAAGACATTATGTTAAAGGAAATAAGCCAGGCATAGAAAGATAAACTTTGCATGTTCTCACATTTGTGGGAGCTAAAAATGTTTTAAAATGTACACATGGAGGTAGAGAGTAGAATGATGGTTACCAGAGGCTGGGAAGAGTGGTGGGTAGGGGAGGGGAAAAGTGGGGATGATTGATAGATATGAAAATATATTTAGATAGAACAAATAAGATCTAATACTTGATAGCACAATAGGGTGATTATAGTCAGCAATAATTTATTGTACATTTTAAAATAGCTAAGAGTAAAATTTAAATATTTGTAATACAACAAAATGGTAAATGCTTGAGGAGATGTATACCCCATTTACCCTGATTTGATTTTTATATAGTGTATGCCTGTCTCAAAATATCTCATGTACTGCATAAGTATATATACCTACTATGTACCATAACAATTAAAAATTAAATTTTTTAAAAAAGTTAAGAAACAACATACATAATGTGTCTAATATTATGACAATATATTCTAGCAGTTAAATATGTACAATTAATTGCACATTGCAAAATCCTCTTGATATGAGTAATTCAAGTTTTCTAGATCATGAATCTAGGCTTGACTTCTTAGCCCCAAACCATGTATACAATTACTTACCAATCATCCCATTTAGCACTTCATACTTAACAAAACTTATCTGAATTTAAATAATGCAACCCAAAATCTGCTCCTGGCCCTGTGTCCTATTTTAGTGAAATATGACCATTATCCATCTAGTTGCACAATTTTGAAATTTCAGTGTTAAGCTCAATACTCACTCTCCTTTCCAGTAAATCTTGTCAACTGTACCCTCTAAATGGGTCATGAATCCATCCTCTCCTTTCCATTCCCACTGCCATTACAGCAATCTTAATTTATTTCTGTATGCTTAAAAGAGACAAAAGCTTTGGAGATGGGTGGTTATGTTGACAGTTTGTAAATGAAAACACAAACCATCACGAGATGGGTGGTTATGTTGACAGTTTGTAAATGAAAACACAAACCATCACTCATAGGCATAAATCATATAATATTCAATTCCTTTGATAGAAGAGAGGCATTAAATTCTAAGAGCTCTTTTTTAGAGATGTTAGATTCAGTTACTGTGCTGAACTGGCTTAATAGGTTAACCCTCAGAGTTCCAAGTGGTGGCTCACGCCTGTAATCCCAGCACTTTAGGAGGCCAAGGCGGGTGGATCACTTGAGGTCAAGAGTTCAAGACCAGCCTGGCCAACATGACAAAACCCCATCTCTACTAAAAATACAAAAATTAGCTGGGCATGATGGTGCACGCCTGTAATCCCAACTCCTCGGGAGGCTGAAGCAGGAGAATCACTTGAACCCAGGAGGTGGAGGTTGCAGTGAGCCAAGACCACATCACTGGACTCCAGCCTGGGTGACAAGAGCAAAACTCCAACTCAAAAAAAAAAAAAAAAAAAAAAAATTGTATATTGGGACAAAGACAGAGAAGACATAGGGGTCCAGGGCAACAATAGTCTTAGAGAAGATATAACTTTAAGGCAAATATTAGGGGAAATCTTTAGAAATAGATACCCAAAAAGCAGTATTATTCTGAATTTGAGGGGTAAATTTTTTAGAAGGGAGAACATAGATTTTTCTGTTATCTTCATGACTTCACACCAGCCATGCAGAGAGGCATTAGGGAGTTCCCCATCACCCACTGCAGCATCCCAAGGACCTCCTATCACCTTGTGTTTCCACAGCTGGGTATAGCCCAGGTCCAAGGAAATTGCATCAAGTCACAGACCCCAAGGCCAATGTTCTTAGCCTTGGGTGCATCAGAATCTCTAGAATCAAAATACAAATGTCTGTTCCACTTTCCAGGAGATTCTAAGTTATGCTTCTGATTGTTGAACACATGACATGACACTGATGAAGTAAATAATAGTAAATGCGACCCCTAACCGAGTACCTTCTCTAGATTTAGCATTTTACTCAATTTTTTAAATGCATGGGTTCATTTAATATTTAATCTTCACAAAAATGTGAGGTCAATATTGTTAACCCCATTTCAGCCATAAGGAATCTGAAGCTCAAAGAGCAGTTTGCAAGTTACATACCCAGAATTCAAACCTGGCTCCAGTTTACACCAAATTCAAACCCATAACCTACCACTGCACAATGCTTTCTCTTTGAGATGCTGTCGTAGTTGTAACCTCCATCCAGATACTTACTGCATAAGCCTGATGACTGTTTGGAGAGTAGGGAAGAGGGTGGGTAAGTTCATCCTACCTCCATTTACTTCTTATTGGAAAATTGATGCTTCTCTTTTCAAGGACTCTTCCAAACAGGGCCTAGGATAAAATGTAATGGGTTGACGACAATATGATAGGTCTTTTCATCTGCAGACTGCCAGTAGAAATTTATTTCAGAAAACACCAACTTTTAAATGGCCTCCATACCTTTCCCACAGGTTGGCAAATAAACAGTTTCCTCGGATTCATCATGTGTCCTGAGACCTTCTCAGATTTCCTAATCTCTCCATCCTCACGACATCATTAGCCTCAGACCTGTTTCTTGGCTCTTCAAGTCTCACATCAGCAGTTCATTAGGCTTTTCTACATCTTTTCTCTTTCTTCCTGATACCAGTAGCTCACCTTTAGTTGACTTAAGGTCACACCAGTACTACTCTTTTTCCTTTTTTTCATGATTTATTCTTCTAAAAAAACAAACTAACAAAAAGAAACAAACCTAGGCTTATCACAGCTGGAATCAAGGAGTAAAATACATTCAGAACTCTGTTACAAATCTTACAGTGGCCTCTGTGGCACAATGCTCTTTTTTAACTGCTCAAAAACTCCACACGTTTTACTATGTGTTAAGTAACAATCTGTAAATGACATTTCCAATGAAAACGGGGCGGGATGGGGGGGACATTACAACCTAAAAATCAACATTTAAAATAACCTTCATTTGATTGTAAAGTAATAAGTAGGGAGGTCCCATCAAGTTCATAAATCAGTAGCTGATGTCCCAGAAAATAACCAGTGTCCCAACTTGCTTTCTCTTGCCGTAAAATTCTGACACAGAAGCATTTTGACTCCTCAGATGTACACATCTCTTGGATCTGACTGTCATTAGGCTGCAGAAGTAAAGGCTAGATATTCCCCCAGCATCTTGTGCAGAGGTTTATCACATGACTGCCAACACAGCACAAAATCAGTAGGAGCCAAAGACTAATGAGCACAAAGTCTACCCAGGTACAACAAGGGGGATATAGTTAAAAATAGAAAATCATTTGTAGGGTTTGTGCCAATTTCTCTCTACATTATTACCTGAGAGCAATTTAATAGAGAAGAGGCTTGAATTATAACTTCATGACCGGGGGGATTGTTGCTCATTTTTTTTTAACCTGAAATAATGATCAAGTCATTTAAGGCTCCTGTCTATAAGATAATAACGAGAATATAGATGAATGGATGACTAGATAGATGACAGATCAATAGAGAGATAGATCCATAGATATGGGTGGAGGGGCAGAGAATGAAGGGATCCATGGCTTCTTGTCACAAATAACTGTGGCACGTCATATGGCAAGTATTCTTGTGATTAGAGGCACAGATTAGAAAGAAGTATGAGAATGCCGCATTAACTATGAGAGGTATAGAAATGCTCTTTTCCTAGTATGAAATGAAGCTAAAGTGAGGATTGTAGAATCCTGTTGATTAACAAGAACTGGCTGCACTGCCTAACAAACTAATTATGAGGGATGGGCATACACCAGATTTACATCCAGGTCAATTTATAGTCTCCTGGATTAACCCGTCTGCCACCTTATGCTGCCTAGTTGTTCATAAAGAATTCAGAGACGGTCATTCCTAACATACCAGCCTTTTATCATATAAATTATTGTTTCCCTGACATCTCCAGTTTTAGTTAATGGACAAGGATAAATGGAAGGAGTTAGGATCTCTTATGTAAGAATAAAAAAAAAAAAAAAATGGACCCTAAAGAAATATACTGACAGTCTAACAAGGCCTATTCCCTAAAAGTCAGTTCCTTCCCTTATTTATAATAACTTGAAGGAAAAGGGAAGAAAAATTATCTTTCTTCCTGATGCCAGCAGCTCACTTTTCATTTGTTTATTTGAAATGGAGAAGAACCACACACTGAAACATAAATTTAAAAACCAGAAAGCCCATACATCTTTTTCTTAATGGTATCTAACTTCAAGAAAATAAAGTTTTGAACACAGCAATTTTGGTTTTAGCATTGTATATGATAATTCTTTCATATCACTCAATTTACAAAATTTACATAAATCTGTATCAGGATTCATTATGTTCAATTATAGGTAAGGATACCTATTTTTGACTTGTAGGATTCAGGATACATATACAATATTATTCCATTTGTATCTCATTTGTGATACTATTTTATGTTTTGTCAGAATGTTAAACTGTGTCCCATAATTAACAAACTATGCCATATTTAATTATTTATGTTTAATGTTTTCATTTAAAACTTACATCTAACTTTATAGTACAAGTCACCAGGAAAAAATATTCAATTAGTAGGGATTTGCATATTATTTGTTTTTTTAATTGTACATCTACAAATTAAGCTACAGGCAAAATTATCAAGAAAATGTACAAAATGAAAAAAAAAAAAAAAACAGAAAGTGTCACTGAATAAACCAAAAAGGGACACTTTTTTACAGTATGACAGCTAACAAGAAGGCAGTGTTTCGATGTTCTGCCTTATCTGGGAATGTGCACATTGAGCAACTCAAATTTTTCACTGCTCCGCACGTGTCGTCAAATCAGCTCTGTGAGAACTGATTTTGGGAGGATAAGTAAATTTTAGTGTGTAGATGAACTGAAAATGTGGAATCTGCGAATAATGAGGATCTAATGTATCAACTATATGACAAATAGTCTCATGGAATCAAAGGGAAAATGAATTAAAACAGAATTGAGAGACTATTGCAAAATTTAAAGACTTCAGTTTGAGCCTCATTTCATTTTAAGCATTAATAAAGTTAAAATTGATTCCATTATGTAAAATAACAAGAAAACTATTCCGTATAAATGAAATGCTTAATTTATCATTTGTTTCTTTGTTTAGTTCAGTAAGTGCCTTATGCTACTGTAGTAGACACTCACTATGGACCAACGTTTGGTTTTCCCCTACATCTAGAGACATGAGAGGATTACATTTCCCAGAGATCTTGTGGTTGAACATGGTCATGTGAGTTTCTTTTGCTCATGGACTGTGAGTAAAGACAACTGTCTTTTACAGTTGAAAGCATTTGACAATGCTTAAATCTTCATATCACTACTCCTTTACTGTGACTCATAGCTTTCTCAACCGCGAAGCATCTCTCCATCAGTTTGAGTCACAGAGGAGGACAGAAAGCAGAACTTCCCACCACACCCCCATTATTGACATGCAAAAGACATATAGTATGAGTAAGTAATAAACTATGCTGTTTTATATTATTTTGAAGAAATTTGGGGTATGTTTTAATTGCAACATAACCTAGTTATTATAACTGATACAAACACCTAAAATAAGATTCTCTTTGGTCCTTTTGGAGATAGTGATAATATTCAATGAGTAATAATTTTGAGGAAATCATCATGTATGCTTATGTTCAAAATGGGTCATATGCTCAATTAATAAAATTAGGGTTTGCAATTTATTTACACCTATCATGTCCCAGCCATTGTCTTAAACACTTTATATATATTCTCTTTTAATATTAACAATGATATAATGAGTATTGCGATTGTGGCAGATGAAGGAACTGAAAACTCAGATGCCCGGGCACACAACCATAGTGAGTTTTGGAGCTACAATAAAGACGTGCAGCCATCTGAGGTTAAAGCCTCTCTGTTAAGCATCATAAAGCTTTCTTAATTTTTTTAATACCATGTGTATAAAGTCATATTCATAAATAGAAAAGATATGATTTCAAAAATAAATCATTAAGTATAGACTGCTGCCTGGGTCTAAAGCTTTTAGATAATCTCATAGCTTGGATCCTTAAAGGAGTTCTATGCTGGGCTTCTGTACAATTCAGTACAATATAATGAAGCAACAGTAAACTTTTTTTATAATAATCATTTCCATATCTATTAATAGTCTGCTTATGTTAATGTAAACAAGTTTTCACAACTGGTTTTGCAAAATAAGTGCTGATGCCCTAAAGTAACCAACGATTATACATAATGAATTATCTCTAATGCATCTAAAATGGCACTAGTCATACAACATCTTTGCAAGAATTGAGAAAGTAGACACTCAAATAATTTTATGTTGTTCAAATAAGGAATCCTAGTTGAGAAAGGCTGCTAACAGTCTAATTTTAACCAGATTTTACCATCCAATTTTATCTCATAACCCCAGAAATACTTCCAGTTTTGCTTCCAGATATAATTTGCTGAGTACAGATATGAGGTACCAAGGTACTCAATACCTACTCTGTGATGCATTGGTGTTATATATGGATATACATTATACATAATGTATATATAATATGCCTATTACATATTTTATATATACATATTAACATATAAAAATGTGTTATATATGTATGTATGCATGTATGTATACTCATACATACACACACACGCGTGCGTGTGTGTGCGCGTATATATATATATGTGCTGTGGTTTGAATTGTTTTGTCCCCTACAAAACTCATGTTGAAAGTTAATCCCCAAAGCAACAGGGTTGGGAGGTGGAGTCTAATGGGAGGTGTTTATGTCATGAGGAGAGTCCTCATGAATGGATGAATGCCACTACAAGAAGGGCTTGCAGGAGTGGGTTTCTTCTCTTCTGCTCTTCTGCCATGTAAGAACAGTTTTCCCCTGCTCTGGAGGATAGAGAATTCAAGACACCATCTTGGGAGTAGAGACCCAGCTCTTAACAGACACCAGATGCCAGCACCTTGATCTTGGACTTCCAAACCTCCAGAACTGTCAGAAATAAATTTCTACTCTTTATAAATTACTCACTCTGTGGTATTTTGTAATAGTAGCACAAAACAGATTAAAAGAATATGTATACATATATATGATACATATAAAATACTCTAATTCCAATATCAACCTTGAATAGATCTGTGTTATGCCTGTTTTTCACACAAGGAAACATTAACTTAAATAAATACTCCCTCTAAACCCTCTTTAAATTCTCCGGGTCCTCAGGTTATAAACATGCTCAAGCTCCCTTATATTAAT